ATCATTCATGTCAGACTTCCTTTGGACTGTTCCCTGCTCAGTGATAATGTTCAAGTGAGCACAGCAGTCTCGCAAACGTTGACCAGGGCAATATATTTGCATGTTAGCAAATAAGTTAACCCTCAAATGTAGCATCCATAACTGTATGTATTTATAAGTATTTGAATTGAGCTATTTAAACACATTAAAAATCATGTATATGCATGTGTGTGTTTGCTGTATGTGTGTGTGTGTGTGTGTACCCATGGAGGTTGGAAGAAGATATAGGGTTGTCTAGAGCTGAAGTTATAGGTGGTTGGGAGTTGCCCTATGAGAATGCTAGAAGCTCCTTTGGAAGGGGGGCAAGCATCCTTAAATGCTGGGCTGTATCTCTTATTCTTGAAATGAGATATTCAACAATTAGATTTGATCTGGTAGAATAAAGAATGGATGTGAACAAGGGCTGTGTAAACCACAGGCAGGGAGAAGTGGGACCTCAAGGTTGTGGAGCAAGGAGCTGCATAACACCAGCAGAGTAGGCCTGGCTGCGAGACCACAGAGTGACATGTGACACCAGCAAGCCTGAAGAGCAGATTGTCTGAGTGCTTCACTCTGTCTCAAGCCAGAGAGAACTACCCACTAGTCCTGAAGGAATAGTGATTAATAGGATGACTGATGGCAGAGAGGTGACCAAGTCTGGATACACTGTGGGAAGGGATGACTGATGACAGAGAGGTGACCAAGTCTGGATACACTGTGGGAAGGGATGGCTGATGGCAGAGAGGTGACCAAGTCTGGATACACTGTGGGAAGGGATGGCTGATGGCAGAGAGGTGACCAAGGCTGGATACACTGTTGGAAGGGATGGCTGATGGCAGAGAGGTGACCAAGGCTGGATACACTGTGGGAAGGGATGGCTGATGGCAGAGAGGTGACCAAGGCTGGATACACTGTGGGAAGGGAGTATCAGCAGAGGCAGTAAACTGGGAAATGGAAATGTGATGGACAAAATGGACAAGGGCACAGGAACCTCAAACTGAGCCCTGGCCCCGGAGAGACTCCCATCCCTTTGTTGGCATGAGAGGCAAAACTGAGTGGTAAAGTGCTGAACTTAGCACAGCTAAGAAACAAAAGACTGATGGGTTGGACTTGAGCTGAACACTGTACATGCTACACCACAGCGACACAGCCTGCTATAGAACACATCCCAGGGAGAGAGAGAATTCAAAAGCTCTCCCACCACGGAAGAAAGTAGAAGAGGTATAATGTACATTTTTAAATCAATTGTACTTTTATATCATTTTGTCTTTTGTTTCTTTTTATGCTCTTTTTTACATTTTTCTGTTTCATTTCTTTGTTTCTGTTGTTTGTTTGTTTGTTTGTTTCCCAAGACAGGATGCACTAGGTGTCCTTGGTAAACCTGGGACTCACTGTGTACATCAAGTATACATCAGGCTGCCTTTAACTTTTCTTATCTCTAGCTCCTGAGTGCTGGGATTAAATCCCGTGACACCACAGCAGACATATTTTTGTTTGGTTCTGATAATGCATCAGTGAGCAGAATAAAGATCCCCTAGCTTCACAGACTTTAATGCTTTTTCCACCCTAGCTTTGCCTGATCCATCTAACCCACCCCACCTTAGTCTCGGTGCTCACTGAGGTTCCACACTGGGATACTGGGGGCAGTGTTATGGATCTGATATGAGGTAATTGCTTATCTTTCCAAACAGTTAGATAAAAGTATCCTAGGATGACCTTGTCTAGGAATTTTAATGGCAGCAGTACTCCTGACCCAAGAAACTTAAGGTGTTTCCTTCCTCCTTTTACACCTCCACATGACTCACCTTTATTTATTTAAAAACATATTTTATTGCATATTTTATGTAGTTTCATTTCAAATGTTATCCACTTTCCCTGTTTCCCCTCCGAAATCCCCCTATCCTATTCCATCCCCCTGATTCTAGGAGGGTGCTCCCCTTCCAACCCCCATACCTACCTCACTACCCAGGCACTCCCATACACTGGGGCATCAAGCCTTCACAGAACCAAAGGCCTCTCTTCCTATTGATGCCTGACAATGCCATCCTCTGCTGCATCTATGCTGAATCCATGGATCTTCCCATCTCTACTCTTTGGTTGAAGATTTAATCCCTGGGAACTCTTTAGTATCTGGTTGTTTGATATTGTTGTTCTTCCTATGAGGTTGCAAACCCCTTAAGCTCCTTCAGTCCTTTCTCTAACTCCTCCATTGGAGTTACCGTGCTCAGTCCAAAGGTTGGCTGAGTGCATTCCCCTCTGTTTTTGTGAGGTTCTGGCAAGGCCTCTCCAGGGACAACTATCTCAGACTACTGTCAGCAAACACTTCTTGGCATCCGCAATAGTAATAGTGTCTGCATTTGGTGTCTGTATATGGGATGGATCCCCAGGTGGGGCAGTCTATGAATGGCTTTTGCTTCAGTCTCTGATCTATACTCTGGGACAAATATTACTATGCTAAATCAATTCCATCACTCTACAGTACTTGTCATTCATAAGAATTTGCCAAAATGTATTTTTTTCTCCATAGTAAAATAAAATGCAAAGATTTGAAATTAGGAACTTGTGGGTCTTCAGTCCCTGATTCTTGTGAAACCTGTATCTTCTCACCTTTCCCTCCTTTGACATATTCCAGAGAAAACAGCCAAACTGTTTGATGAGATAGGTTTCTAATTTTTGTTTTGAAGCAGGGTTTCATTCATGGCTGGCCTTGAACTTCTGATTCTCCCATCTCTACTTCCTAGGTGCTGAGATTACAAACATGTATGACCACACTGAGGTTTTGTTTCTAAAGTGTCTTTGTGTTAAGGCTTCTAGTCTTTTCTGGATCTGCACCATCTCAGCTAACACCAGCAGCCTCTCTGGTGCTTTGAAGGAAAACATGGTTTTTTGTCTCAGTGTTGCCCTCTGCTGGACACTGGAAAATATTCAGGCCAATGATATTCTGGTGTTGGTTCTGGTTGATGTTATGGAACAAGGAGACAAGACTAACTGGTCATGGGTAGAGGGACTTTCTAAGAAAAAATTAAATAAAATTCTACTGTGGTAGAAAATAGAACAGGTTGTTGCCTGAGGAACTTAGGAAGCCCTGTAGCTACATGTGCTTGCAGGATTTAGGAGTGACTGAAAACCCCTGGTCTTGGACTCACCCCATCTTCTGAAAATGTAGAGACACCTTAAATCACATTGAAGCTGAAGGTATCATTTTAAAAGTTGTTACTTAAAATGCATCTTCAATGCCAAGAAAATAAATGCAGTGATTTGAAGAACTTTGTAGAAACTTAAGCAATATGTATACTACTATGTTCATATAGTGATCTTCAACAAGAAGTTTGAATCAGAATGGCCAAGTAACTAGCTGTCCAAGACTCATTCATGAAGATGCTGTCAGCTGGAATAGACTCTGTCAGGGCTATTGGAATTCTGAGAAAGCCCCCAAACAATGCATCATCTTTTAGCTAATAGAAAAGTAATCCTAAAATAACCAAGGAAACAGAAAGTTGGATGGCAAGTGTAATTTATAGCTGGGCACCTAGTAAGACACGAATGAAAAAGAGAACCACACCCAGGATTCCTAGGGCTGTAAACAGCAGGCACACTATGTCTGTATACATGGGCTTCCTGGCTTTCCCTCATGTGTCTTGGTGTTCTACCTAGGGCCATAAAGCTGCCCTGAATCATGTGTAGATGGGAGCAGGTACACACACAACTCACATTCTTCTGCTCTGAGGAACTCTGGCCATGTTATACCACCTCCCATTGGTCCCATGGGCTGCCTCATTCTTCCCCTAGAAACCTTCTGCTCCACACAGCCAATGGCTGACCTCTGGCCTATCTGGTGGCTCCCCTCCATGACATCCTGAGTACTTCCCAAAACCACAACAGCACTTAAATTAACATGAAAATCTCTTCTTAAAAGAGGTTATTTTGTTGTTGTTGTTTGTTTGTTTTGAATCTTATGCCAGACACTGTTAAAAATTTTTTTTAGGAATTGCCCTTTCTTACATAATATTCATATGTTGCTATATTATGTATTGTATCTTCAAACAGCATGATACCAATTACCTGAAGCTGAATAATTACCTGTTACTGTAAATTATTCTCTCCTGCCTTTCTCCTACTCTTCGCGGTCCTTCCAGCCTGTTCTCCTTCCTCTCACAGAGGGTCTCTCTCCATATTTTCACTACAAGTAAATTTCGGGTAGATGGTACCTTTTATCTGTTGATGAAGGGACAGGTTCTGGAAGCAGTCTCTGTAGCTCTGATCTAATCCTAACCTTAGTGAGACATCATGTTTGAAGTCTTGGAATTAGGGTCTTCTCAGTTATCCTGCCTCTCCCAGGTACTGAAAGATCCCTAGTGCCTTCACTCAGGACTGTGCACTGCACTACAGTTAGGGAAAGTAGAACATCACAGCTCTATTTGCCTGGCCTCAATGGGTCTTCACAAAAGCCCTGGGAATAGAGGCTCCCATGCTATTTTTGGGTAGATATTTTGGGGTAGTAAGATTTTGTTTCTTTATGTAAAAGAGTTTGTGCAGTATTGTGTGCCTGAACCCTCAGAGACAGGCTTTGTCCAGCCTTGTTAACTGCTGTCAATCTTACTTAGGAATACCTTGCTTACCTACATGGATAAGTCTGTGATGGTTGCAAAGTATCCAGGGTTTGTGGTTCTCAGGCAATTTATTGTTGTACACTTGTCCACAAGTGGTTTTTGGCATGGCAATGTGACAATGTTGTCTACTTAGAGGTGAATCATGAGGTAATAATCACATCCTACCTCTCCTCCAATCAGCTGTCTTCCCTCAGATTCCAGCAAACATTCCCCAAATCTTCCCCTGAAAAGATAACTTTGTATGTCAGCATCGTTCTTCATCCTCCTAACACCCCACCCATGAGGATAGATTCATCTTCAGCCCAAGACACAACTCCTGATTTGATTTCTAAAAGGAAATTTATTTTCAAGTTGAGATACAAATATGCCCATTGTACAGTTGTGCAGTTTCCTCTGTAAGATCCATCTTTGGTGAATAGCCATCCTTTGTGGAATAGCTCCATCTTTGCTTCTCTGATCCAGAGGTTGGCAGGACATCCCATTCATTTATGTTCAGTGTGTTCTGTGTGTTCAGGATGATCTGTCTGAGGTGGATTGTTAGCCAGGTGCTCATTCCAGAAAGCCACTTCCTTCCCTTTCAGTCTCTGGGCTTGCTGGGTGGTGGCACCAATCTGCAGATAACCTTCCGTCTGATCATACTCTGGCCAGTGTGGCAGTTCCTCCCCATTAGGGTTCCTGGGAACAGAATCAAATAGAACTCCTCAAGACTGCTCTGTGGCCCTCCTTCTCTCTGAGATCTGAATGCATGTGTGGTTTATTTCAGCAGAGAACCTGACAACCTCCATTTAGAGCTTACATCTTTTGAAACATCTCATTATAGTCTAAAAACTATAGGACAATAATGTTAGAGAGAATGGTCCGTGCTTCTATAACTCAGACTTCAGAAGTCATCTCTCCTACAAGATATGCCTAGCCACACCCAATCTACCCTTTTCATCTTTGCCACAAGCCTCACCCATTTCGAGCAAAGTTGGCCCAGAATTTCATCACCATCTTGCTGAGGTTGGTCTCCTCCTCCGAGGCACCCTCTGCAGGGAAGGGAAAAAATTTATTGCTGCTGGAAGTGTGAATCAGATATAGCTTCATTTAGGAGGTTGCCATAAAGTCAGAAAGAGATGTTCACTCCTTAACCATTGTGTCAAAAGCTCCAGTGTGAGAAGACCCTGGCTAATCATTGTGCATATTTGGGGGTCGAATGAGTGACTGATCTGTGACCCAGCAGTGGGAATGTGAGCATGCACCAGGAGTCTCCTTTGCTGTCTATGTTCATCTGCCTTCCCTTCCTTCCTTGGGTCAAAAATGTCATATTCAGAGTGCCCTTTGATTGGGAGATTTGCTTTTTAGTCACTTGCACACAGTATTATTATTAATAGACTATAAAATATATCAGAATAACAAACAACTAAGAAGCATTCCAGCAAGCAAATTCCCATACGGATCCATGAGCTAGGGTCATGAGCTTATGCAAATTATAAGGGTTAAGACACTAAATACATCTGTGAAAAGATATTTTTAAATAATACATTATTGGGCTCGAGAGATGGCTTAGTGTGTCAAGGCATTTGCCATAATTAAAATGTGAGAATCTGACTTGTACTTCTGGGACTCATAATAGAAGGTAAGGGACTACTACACAAGTTGTTCTCTGATCTCCAGAATCATGGGTGTGTACACAGTCACACACACAGACACACACATACATACACACATATAAATATACACACATACAAATATACACACATATACATACACACACACTCGCACATGCACTTACATACACACATACACACATGTACACACACACATAGAAAGGCCATGCATACATGTTTGTACACACATAGAAACATTTATATATCATGTTATTAACTATATCATAGATCTCCTGTGAAGATGCCAGCCACTCTTTCTGGGAAATGAAAGTAGAATGGACAGCTATGGAAAGATGAGGGTAAGGAGAAGGGTGAGAATAAGGTGATCAAGTGAAGAGAGGGGGGCAAGAAGAAGCTGAGGAAGGTAATGTCGTGAGAGACAGTTAAATTAAGGACCATTAGAAATGTAGTATGGAAGCCTAGTACAGTAGAAGCTCCCTAAAATGTGTGCATATATGAAGCCAATCTAAATAAAATTGATGACAAGCAGGGGCAGAGACAAAACCCCAACTGGGCATCTCTTGTCACTAAAAGAAGCTTCCAGTACCAGAATTGGATTACATCTAATTAAGATGTGGTCCAACAGGTCTCATGGGAAACCCAAAACAACCCAGTCTCTTGTCCAGACTCTAGGTTGCTCTCCACAGGTTAATGGGAGGCCCCATTGCTGAAGACAATAGCCATACAACTCATTGACCATGGAGATGTCAAGGGAGCACCTACTGAGTGCCTTAACCCATCCACTCTAGTGTCTTTGGTACAGGAAGGTGTTCTGATGTTCCCAAAATAGCAACACAAATGCCAAGCTAGTTACAAACCCTTTGATCTACGGTGATGTCATATCTGGCAGATGGCACAAAGCTTGTGGGAGCAAGCAACCAATATCTGATTTGATGTAAGGTCCACTCCATAAGATGATAGAACCCATACCTGTCACTGATTGAATGAAGAAGAACCTGAGACTAGAGAGCCCAAGGCCCTGGGCAAAAGCAAATACTACTTTTGTTAAAAAAAAAAAGTTAATAAATGAATAAAATTTAAATGTAGTACTAGAAAGACTCCTAATGATGGTCTGCCATACTCTTAGATCAGTTTCTTGCACAGCCACCATCAAAGAAGCTTCCTCCTGCAGAAGATTGGAACATGTACAGGGACCCACAGCCAGACATTATGCAGGGAATGTTCTGGAATATTAAATGGGTAGGCTCCAATAAACCCCTCTCCTTAGGATTCAGGGAACACTTCTGAGGAGGAGATGGAAAGAATTTAAGAGCCAGAGGGCATGGAGGACACTAAGGAAACAAGAATCTCTAATCAACAGAAAGGACACACATGTGAACTCACAGAGACTGAGGCAGCACGCACAGAGCCTTCACATGCCTCCACCAGATGGCGGCATAGAGCTGAAAAAGCGGACACATGCCTCCATCCCTAACCCAGCAGCCATCTTTAATTGATAATCATTTGCAAATGAAAATTTAATTTCCTCCAAGGGAGTCTTACAGAGGAAACAAACTTTTTTTTTAAGGTTAGGCTGCAGACAGGAGATGACCAATATAAAACAAACTCAATGACATCTCTGGAGGGTCCTTGTCTTCTAATGACATTTTAGGGTTCCTCCTTTATATATTTTTTTAAAAAAAACATTTTACTTTTATTTTCATTTTATTTTATTGATATATATTTTTTTTCTTTCATCCTACAGATTCTTTTCATATATAGTATGGCTTTCAATTCAGTGCTTTAATGGGATTCTTGAGTTTACAAATGAGAAGGTCTCTGTTTCTTGTGCATACCCTGGGTCTCTTTTCCTTCTGCTTGTTTTGTCCTTTTCCAATGTGTTAGTTTTTATTATATTTGTTTTATTATCATTCCTTAGAAGCCTGTTTGTTTTCTAATGAGAGACAGAAAGGGAGTGGAGCCACATGGGAGAAGAGGTGTGGAGGAAAACTGGGAGGATTGAGGGAGGAGAAACTGAAATCAGAATATACTATGGGAAGAAAGAAGTCTACCTTCAATAAAAAAGAATATATACATCACATGTAAGAGATATATTTAGGTAGATAAATACATAGGTCGTGTATTCACACTTTAAGGTTTTGTGGGAAATTAAATTATGGTAATATAGAGATGCCTGACCCACCACCTCTCTTACTGTTACCTCAGGTCATGATGCTTAGAATGATTATGGCTGAGTCCACATGACCTATCTTTATGTGTGACAGAACGGGAGAATGTTTGGGGACTACCTAATGGAGCTCAGTTCTGCTATAGAATCCCAGAAAACAAGCATTAGGAGAAAAGGAGAAACTTGCTGAAGACCCCCAAATCAAGACTGGAGAACACAGTCCTCCTGACTCCCAGAACACACCTGGGCAAGAGCCAATACCTTTTAAAAATGGAGTCCCAAATACAGAGAAGATTTCATCTCCATGGTCTCCCTGAATCGTCTGGGGTCTCTTGTCAGACACGAAGCTTGGGCGATACTGAAACTCATACATGTAGGTGGGCACTCCAGAATCTGAGAAGACATGAATTTATGTACAGCACACGTTAGCAAACACAGTCCTGAGTGGCACTGAGGTCTCCATCCCTGAAGAAAATAGTTGGCTACTAGAATAGGACAGAAGCAGATTTGGAAACCATGGTGACCTGTTTGTTTTGCACAGCTGGTTGAGATAGACCTGGGATCTGAGCCAGGTGTTTATGGAATGCAGAATGAGTGGATGCAGTGCAGGCAGTGAGCACTTGGATGTATTCAATGATGATCCATGGTGCCCTGTCATTCTGAGAAGATCTGCACTTGCTCATACTCATCCTGGTTTTAAGCATCCCCAGTGCTAAGATGTCTTTCAGAAATGAGGGAGGAATATCAAATCCCCCAGAGAAAAGCTTGTGGAGCTCATTGTCCCTGCTGCTGCCTGTGAGCACTTGCTAGGTTTCTTTAAACTGAAAGGTAAGTGTACTGATGAGTAACATGGAGGTCAGTGGTGGAAACTCGTCAACCCATGTTCAGATCACTGTGAGATGGTAATCTTCTTTTGTAGGGGATTCTTTTCCTTCAGTAGCACACGGGTTCTGTACAAAAATCCTGCTAAAAATTAGTGTTAAAATTCTCATTCAAAATTATATAAATTTGTGACACAAAAAATAACATAAAAAAACCTGTGCTGGAGAGATGACTCCGTGATTAAAAGAACTGAATACTCTTCCTGAGACCTGAGTTCAGTTCTCAGTACACACACACAGCAACTTACAATAATCTCTTAACCGAAGTTCCAGGATCTGTTGACCTCTTCTGGCCTTTCTCAGCACCAGACACAACTTACAGTGCACAGACATATAGAGACAAACATATTCATACACAAAAATAAAAATACTTTTAAATGAAAAACATAGATAAAATTGTACAACTGTTATAAGAAATCAAATTATATTGTCATCAACTTAAAGCAGGTTCTGTGTGTGTGTACAACAAGATGTACATTCTTTCTGAGTGTTCACAGCCCATTTGCTGGAATATATCACGCACAGGCACAAGAGAGCCTAGCCTAATTTAAGAAGAACTATGTGTAGCTTTCACTCTGTCTATACAGGCCTGAGTCAGTGATGGACAATCCTGTGACAGATCAAAAACCAGTTTTCACCTTTTCTAACCAGTGCACACCAAGATGGATAAAGGCATGCCAAGGAAATTGAAGGTCTCTACACTTCTTCTGCCCATACTTCTTTCCACACTCTTTTTCTGGACTTTCTCATCTGGAAGAGGCTCTTTTGAACCTTAATTCTGTTCCTGACCCTGGATTTTTATTCTTTTTGTGTGTTGATTTTAGAAGAAAATACTTCGTGTAACACAGTCTGAAATTGAACTCCCTATGTAGCCAAAAGAAATCTAGTCTTCTCTTCCCAGCTCCTAAGTGCTGAAAATACAAACATGTACCACTAGTTCTGACTCACAAGGTTATTCAGGATTGAATGCAGGGTATCCTACATTCCAGTCAGACACTCTATCAACTGAGCTATATCACAAACCTCCTGTTCTATGTATCTATATCTACATATATAAACACACACACACACACACACACACACACATTAACTCACACACACCTCTGGGGAGAAGTGGGTAAATCAGAGACGTGTTATTGAGTTCATGTCCTCCAATTAAACACATAAGACTCACCTCTGAGGCTACGGGACAAAATCACAGATGGGATACAGAAAAATATATCTCCCAACATGTCCTGAAGAAGGTCTCCCTTTTTGGAAGGGTCGTCTGTTCCGTTTAAGTACTTCTCAATGATTGCTGGAATCATACTCTCAGAGATGTTCTAAAATGGATCAGAAAATGACCACTCTCACCTGGAATCAATGAGGCTGCTGCAGTTAAGATGAGGTCATGACTCCTGGATCAATAGGGCTTTGTACCAAACCACCTTGCTACAATAGGGAAGAATTTCTACATCTACCTGCAGTATGTCGTTATGTTTGGAGGTCAGGTGTCTGATAATTATGTTCTTTAATTTGCTGTGTTGGGAGAGACCCCTTTGCCTGGTACCACCTGATAGCATAGAAACTGTTGTCTAGTGAATCATATAGCAAGTTGTATCTAGTAGACATAAATATTCAGTATCTTCCCCTCTTCTACAAGGGAAGATACCTTTTATACCCTAGCAAATAGAATATGCTACATCTAGGTAATGAAATAAAAAAAAAGAAATGATTGATGAGATTTGCTAGTCAGCAAATATTTTGTTTTAGATGTACAGAGTCCAGAATATCTGTTCAGTGATTTACTGATAACAATCTCATGCATCAGAAAAGCAGGGAACCTACAACATGTAACTATCTTAGAGCCCACCTGTCTGATATACATCCTTGGTCTTAGACCTTCAATGTGTAAACCTGATGGTCTTTGTTGGTCATGGAATCAATCTTTCCAGGTATAAAGCTTTCCAAATAATTCCCATGGCAACTTTTCCTGGATCCATGGGGAGTTTTGATGGTGAACAAGAAATGTAAGTTTGTTACATTGGGATGGGAAGAAGATGGAATAGAAAAGTGGGAGGGGCACCCCAGTCATCAGCGTTGTTTATAGCCATTGAATTTGTCTGTAATTGAAGCAAGTCACTGACCTGTATCTCCCATCCAATTCCCATGACTCCCTAGACTCTTACAAGTTCAGAGTGGAACATCTTCAAGAAGAAACTGGCTGTTTTCTCATTCATTTTGCCTTCAGAGTGTAGATCTCCCAACGCCTGTTAAACACATGTTAATATATTGGTGAATCCCAGTAAATTAAGAAGAACCAAACAGATCAACCAAGAAAACCCAATGATATAAAGGTGCTTAGGGGATAGTGCTGACAGATTATGATTCTGAAGGAAGTCAGCAAGCAAAAGAAATGGACTTATATGAATGAAGCTAAGCCATACAGAGAAGACAGTCAACTGATTGTATTTATTACACTAGAAGGGACAATGTTCCTCAAGGCAGTAGAGCATTCAGGCCAGGGTCATTTTGAAGACAAAGGCTCAGGGACAGAGGACACAGGCCACACACCCTCAGACTCAGGTGACAGCTGAAAGAAGACTTAGCATTGTATTTGTGTCTATGTTTCTGTGATGCCCCATGAGGTCCTTCTGAATAACTCTGGGTATGTGCTGATCCTGACCACATTTGCACTCAGAGAACTGGTCTGGTCTCAGTGTGTCTTTTAGCACTAGAAGCTATATTGCAATCTGATACCAGGGCCCTAAAATATCTGCTTTAGAGGGCTCACCATTGCTGAGTTTGGTGGTGGGCAGTCAGGGCCTGGAGACCTCTTGAGTAACATTAGAAAGTTTCCTATTATTAGTCCCTGCTCTGGCCCAGATATAAATTTGTACTCCAAAGGGCTTCATCAAGGACTCTCAGAACAAATTTACATGGAAAGTTTTAAGCCTCTTTGAATGGTGGTCATCTGGGTGCATAACCCTTGAACAGAAAAGGGAGGATGATTTTTGAGCTTCTGTGGAGTGTATCTAAAAGGTCTGTATATTCTCACCTTTGGAATGATCCAGCCAAACTCTTGCTTGTTGAAGCCCACTATGTAGGGTACAGTGTTGAAACTCTTCTCAGCCAGGATCTTTTCTGGTGCCTTTGGCAGCACCACTCCATCAATCACAGAGGACAGGGAGATATTGTGCTGGGAAAAAAACAGAAATACAGTACTTATGAATATCATACCTTACCTTTTATCCATATCAAAGAGGGGTGCAGACCCTCTTTGCTTCTCTGAGGGCTTGCTAAGCATAAAGACTCCTGTTGCTATGGCTACTGAAACCCTAAAGACAATGGCTGAGCCTAAGAGACTTCAAGATCAGAACTGTGAGGTGGGTGCCAGCAGAGGCAATGCAATGGTGGTAGTGAATTGGGGAAAGAATTCACACTTATTAATAAGGGCTGATTACCTGTAATTATCCATATCTAGATCTGCTTGCAAATAGTTGGCTTTGAGAAGTACTGAGCTTATCATTTGAGGAGACTGACCTGAAACCTTGTTTCTATTTAGAGAAATAAAATATCACTGGAAGCACCAGATTCTCTCCAATAGGCTGATAATAGAAAATACCACCTGGACATAACCATTGCCACCTTGAAAAAGCTGATTAGTGAAGAGAGAATATTCTGAATCTCACGAGAGGAACTGATTTCTGGTGGAAGATGACACACTGGACTCACAAAGCCAGTCTTTTTGATATCTGGATTGGTATGTTTGCACGAACACCATAAACAACTGAAGAAAAGAGTGGGCATTTCTAAGCAGTAGGAAGGAAATGGATCAAGTGAGCGAGGAACCTGTGTACAGGGCTCCTATGAGGAAAGTCACAGTGGCCTGGACTTGGGAGACTTCTCTGGGATAGTGTTAGAGAAGGGGTCTCAGAGTGAAATTCTTTTTTATGTATAATATATGGCACATTTTTTACACTTGACGAAATTTCCATTGTATATGCATAATACATTTTCATTATCCATTCTTCTCTTGATAGACAGACATGTGATTCCATTTCTTTGCTGTTATGAATAGTGAGGTAACAAATATTGAAGTGGACAGGCAGAAAACAACAAAAACTAATTATATGAAATATTTCATAATAAAACCTAATTCATTGATATATATTCCTAGTTAGCCTTTAACAGCCTAGTTATACCTAAGAAGGGAGTCACAATTAGGGAATTGTCAGGATCAAATTGGTTTTTGAGCTTGTCTTTGAATGAATGTTTTGTTTGTCCACTGTAGGCAGCATCATTCCCTGGAAACTGTGTCCTAAGCTATATAAGAATACTAGCCAAGTATGTGACTTTCCATGAGCCAGCAAGTAGCCTTCCTCCACAGATTCTGCTATATTTATTTTCTTAGCTGAACATGCGTGTTTGAGATCCTCCTTCATGTCTTCCCTCAATGATGAACCATAGCCTAGAGCTGTAACACAAATAAACCCTTTACTCCACCAAACTGCTTTAGATCTGAGGGTTTTATTCAGAGCAACAGAAAGGAAAGTAGAGCAGAACTATATGTGGCACCTTCCTGGAGCTCAAAGCTGTTTGAGGAGAGGGTACTATCTCAATGCAAGGAATGGACTAAATCCTGTAAGCAAAGCCTCGCTTTTAAGAAGGGAAATGGCTTTTGTTCCCAAGGAGAAAAGGCAGTAAGAATGGAAAGCAGAGGCAGAAGATTTCAGGAAGACAGACAGAACAGCCTGCATGAATAGGCATCTGGGAGACAAAGGAAGACACTGGTATCTGCAATCATCAGACCCACAGAAGGGCCACTGTTGCCCATGAATACTGATAGCTGCATGTGGAGGCCACATGCTTTGCCCTCTTGAGTCAGGGAAGCCAAAGGTATCTTCTCTTCTGTTTATCTCATGCCACACAACCTATTTATTGATAAGCCCAGTCGGAGATTCCTTCAAAGGTTCCTGCACTCCAGTCACATCCCATCACTCTCAGTCCCTGGTATGATACAGAATACCTGCAGTGCAAAGACCCAACCACTGCAGTGCAAAGTATTCCCATCAATCTCTTTGCACCTTCCCAGGCCTTTGTTTGTATAGTGCATTTCTACATTGCACTTAATGTTAAGGTTTATACCTTCAAATTTGGGAGGCTGACATAGGCATATCACAAATTTCTAGACTACAGAGTAGGACCCTGTCTCAAAACAACAAATAAACACAAGACATTAAAATGAAAAAGACCAGTGTTCAGAGCTCACTGATCATGTCTCATGTTGGTTCATAGTCCAACCTTCTTAGCTGAAGCAGGCCCTCCCATCTTGGTGACTTCCTTAAGCCTGCTTCTTCCTCATTGCCTTTGAATTTGACGAGAGGAAAGCAATGGGAGAAATGTAATTATAATATCAAAAATATAAAATAATACAATTGGTGAATGGTTGATCAGATCATTCATGAATGGGGGACATACTGAAAACGTAGTAAGAAAATTATGGATATATTTCTACTCAATTAATGAAAAGATATGAATGAATGGGATGGCTGGTAGCATGAATGAATGCATCAGAACACGATAGATGAATGGACTGGGAAATAGACCGCTATCCTAGTACTATAATTGATGCAGCATCTCATAAATTCTAGAGAAGTTGGCTACTACTCTTTAATAACTTAAATTGTATATCACCCAATAGATAATGTGACACTTTTCTGAAAAACTCCTAATTGAATATCCCTGAAATTCATGATAGTAGTTTTTGGTTTTAGGACTAAGAATGTCTTACTCATAAAAATGTGACAAGAATGTCCAGAAAGAAAGCTTTGATTGATTTGAAAGATTTCCATGCAATTCTTCATCATGGGATATATAATTGGACCAAGTTTTGACATTTAAGGTGTTTCAAAACAGGAAAGGTAATTCCCAGTTGGGGTCAAGAGGTTGACACTGTTTCCAAGAGCTAAGAAATTGTCCCATTAGAGTCTATCCAAGGGAAGAACAGCAAAAGAAATAGTTTGGGGTGAGGACACAGAATAGTAATGAGTAGATAGGATATATACCTGTATCAGTTTTGTTGTGATCTCCAAGATCTCACCCTCTGTCTTCTGGCGTAAGCACTGAACCATGGCAGCTGATGATGTGTCATTACACCCAGAAAGAGTAGCAATTATCTGAAAAAGATCACAGGCAGCATCAGATGTCAAGAGTAATGACTATATTCTCTGTCAATATAGACAATAGATTCTAGATTATCTTCCTCTTCCTCTTCCTCCTTCTGCTCTCCCTCTTCCATTTACCCCACCTCGTCCCTCACTACTTCTCTCTTTTTTCATTCTTTCTTTCATTCATTTATTCTTATTTACAATTATAATGACAATTATGAAGTTTTGTGATAGGATTTTACTAAGTACCACGGCTAGCCCAAGACCTACACTGCAGATCAGGCTGGTGTCAATCTTTCATGTATTATTTCTGTCTTTGCTTCCCAGGTATTTGGATTATAGTCATGCATCACCAGGTTTTGCTCTCACATTGTATTTTGTAAGGTGACGGAGGCTTTGTAATGAGCATAAATAGGCATTTCTCAGTTTATGGCTTTTGACCCCCTGGGGTCAGTTTGCAAAGATGTAAATGTATCCTGCATATCAGATATTTACATTACAGTTCACAACATTAGCAAGATTATAGTTATGAAGTGACAGCAAAAATAATCATATGGTTGAGGGTCAACCCTACATGAGGAACTGAATTAAAGGTTGTCAGTACTAGAGAGGTTGAGATCCACTGCTCTAAATTAGCAGATGGAGATACTATGTCCCACAGAGTACTGCCTTTGTTACTAACTGGAATAATGAGATGAGCTGGTTATGTCACATATGTGCCTGCGAGTGTGTGTGTGAGTGTATGCACAAATGAACACACACACACACACACACACACACACACACCAGAGCACAATGTTCTAATTGAATGCATCTAAAGAGGCCATTTGAAATAAAGGATGAATTCTGTTTGGTTTCATACACTACTTCACCCACTGACTAACTACTTTGCTCTCCATATATATATGTATATATGGAGAGAGAGAGAGAGACAGAGACAGAGACAGAGACAGAGACAGAGACAGAGAAGAGAGATCCTCATATTTCAGTTCCTGTGCAGAATCACAGGGTGTCTGAGTAACATGATTCACATGAAGGTATGTTAGAACTGGCAGAATTTGGCTTTGCTGTGAGCCAAAATGTAGTCCTTCTGCCCAGCTATTGTTACTTTAAGGATTATCTAAGCTGCACCCCACAGACAGAAAAGCCAGAGAAGACCCAAAAGTAGCTCAGAAAGCAATTCAAAAATGCCCAGATTGAGACCTACTTCATTCACAGCCTGAATATTCTTCATGGCCAGGTTTGTACTGAGGAACACACCACTTTCAGAAATGGCTCTGTGGAAGAGGTTCTTGCCCAGAGGAGATAAGACCTGGCGAGGGAGAGAAAATTTTATTCTCCTAAGATGGGTTTTGTGGTTAACCTCAAATTGGAAAAGAACATCTAGAATGACCTAGGAAATAAACCTGTTAGCATATCTGTGGGGGAGTTTCAGTATCACATTAACTGATGTTGGAATATGTCTTATGGCAGCAGCACTCCTGTGACATGTGACTAGCAGCTTATCCAACACCTAGGCCTGCTTTACATGGGAATGCTGACTTACTGGGGCATCAGCCCAGGGTAAAGGGAACCAGGGAGTAAAACAAGCTACAGTTGAATCCCAGGTGTTTGAGCAAAGCTAAAGTGGATTGTCCCAATCTAGGGTTTTCCATTCTGCATCTCATACATCCTTGTCACGGAACAAGTTTCTGTTGCACTTAGAAAGATATCACACTTGTTTGATTTCCTCACTCATGTTAAAAGACATGGTTTTGAAGATCAGAGGCGGTCAATGAGCTGGGCAGTAGTATTTTGCTTCTGATCTGAATCTTCTCTATGGGCCCATGTGACCAGTCACCTCAGCTCTCATTGTCATGACTCCCCTGCTGTGGTAAATTGCATCCTTAAAGAGTGAATCAAAATAAACTCTTCTTTAAGTTGCTTTGATTGATATTTCTCCATTGTAAGGAGAAAAGTCACAGATACTATGAAACATGGCACACTTGCTGTTTAGGGCTCCCCCGATATCCTGACTGTGGATTTGGTGACCTCGGTGTTCCATGAGTAAGACTGCTTCTCACCCATCCTAGCCCAACTCCTGGACATCTTATTATTCTGATGTTTCCCAGGAAGATCTCAGCAGAGTGTGTCATGAATTCAGAGACAGAAACAGAGTGGAAACACATTACAAGAACCTATCAGAGCAAATCCAAACTATTGGAAAGACAGTACCAGTAAAAGGCTTGGTAATGCCTACCCATATAAAATGTCTGCCTCTCCACTGTTCAAAATTTATCCTAACACCAAAGATCACAGAGACCTGTGAACATTTCTCAGAAAGTATATGCATTTTTCAAATAGATTTAGCACAAGGTATTAATATACCATTAAGTAAAATTTAGATTCTTTTTTATAATGCAGTATTATTCATGGGTGGTAATATATCAGAGAGGTTTCTAATAAGGACAATATTTATATGTTACTATATGACAAGATGCCTTTTTTGACAAAGGAACTAAAAAGTCAACATCGCTGCATATGTACAGAAAATGAGGAAAGAGGGTATGGATGGAGGATAGATGACACATGATGAATAGAGGGAAAGATATGGTATCTCATATAACTCTGAATATGTACATAAATGTATATGAAACTTTATAAAAGACTGAAAAAATTAAATAAAACAGCCATGTGACAATCCCTGGGTAGGTTGTTATGCCAGACTTTATTCTTCACTAGGTGTTTAATAGATTTTTTCCTTATTTAAGAATTTTCCTGTTGTCAGGAGGTTGTTATCTGTGGATGTGGCTGCTAGAAACCTAACTTGGGTTTTCTGGAGAACAGCAGGCAGGCAGTCACTGAGCCATCTCTCCAGCCTTCCCACACCTCTTTCTACTTTCTTCTAAATACTGATCATCTTCTCTCCTTACTAAATCTTATGTCGAAATTGCATGAAATACTTAATCGTTTATTTTAATGTTGTGTGCAAATGCTCCCACTTCAAACACTGCAACTCAAATACAATAACCAATAAATATTCTAAATTTTTTCCTCTAAGAATTTAAGTAGAAAGCCAGTGTGTGTAAGTTCCATGGCTAAATATCTGCTCAACTTTGAGAAAGGTACAATTTCTCAGAGCTCCCAGAATATCTGTAGCTTCTGTCACAGTTCCTATGGATCAATTCCACACATCAGCAAGACACATCATGTGCCCAGCCTATGTCTGTGATCCACATCTTCTGCCCTACCCTTCCCCACTGGATCTTCCATCACACCTAACCTTCTTTTCTTTCATCTGTAAGATACCCTGATGCTGCCTTCTTAAGCTCAGGGGAAGCCCCACTATGATCTTGGGTCTTGAATTTCCTTAACGTAAAGATGCAGCTTCAACCCAAACAAGGACACTTGGTCCAATTTACTGCTCCTCTCCTCACATTTGTAGTGAGTACTTAGTACTGCATCCCAGAATTTATAGAGTGAGACCTGATATTAAAATGATTAAGAAGAAGAATGAGATTAACCAAGTGAGAAGAGAAACTGGAGATGTTGATGGCTGTAGGACTAAAAATAAATTATAGTAATAATTAAAGTAAGCTTATAAGCAAAAGAGAGCTAATTATACACCTGAAGCTGTCCATCATCCGATGCTGTGCAGCAAACTGAGTCAACCTGTACACAAGTGTTGAATGAAAGGATGTATTGGACTGGCTGCTTTCTAATAGGTTCCCTCCCATTTAACCCACCTCTAGTCCCCAGTAGCTACATCAATCCCCCACCAAGGGTATGGTGACAAGAATACTTACAAGAACAGAGACACTGGCACCTCCTGCTGACTCTCCAAAGATGGTCACTGAATCTGGGTTCCCTCCAAAGTTTGCAATGTTATCCTTTACCCAGCGTAGTGCAGCCAGCTGGTCCAAGTGAGCCCAGTTCCCCCGGCTGTGTTCATCACCTGTGCTGCAAGGTGACAAGGTAGAATGGGGTCAGAGGTGTCATGGCAGGCCTCTCAAGAGCCAGAGGAGATAGCCCAGAGAAGTTCAATGAGCTTTTGAGAACCAGGTTGGAAACCACATTACTCAACTGAGGGACTTTACCTGCTTGTAATCCCAACAGCATTGCTCTGTATGGCTCTCTACATTCATATTCTAGAAACTATGTACTGCACTGAGGATCCATAGTACATTCTAGATTGCCCAAACAGATAAAGAACAAGACAAACAAAATCTCTGACTATGTTCACCTCACAGTGCAGAGCAGAATCAATTAGACTAGAAACAACATGTCAGCTAGCACAGAAAATACAATGTGGACAAGGAGGGTCTGTAGGGTAGCATTTCATCTGGGAATATCCTGTTTGAAGCAGTAACTCTTGGGAAAGAGAAATAGTATCTAGCCAATCTTGAGTGTTTGTTTCATTAATTGAGCAAAATGAACCAAAGCGATGACTAATTAATATGCAGAGAGGAAGAATGTAGTATCTTACCTAAATAATCCAAAAATACCCAGGCGGTATTGAATGGTTACCACCACCACATTTTCATGAGCAGAGAGAGCTAGTCCATCATAGGTAGATGCTCCACCTATCATCAATCCACCTCCATGGATCCACACCATCACCTGGACAACAATAAAACCACACAGACAATAGATTGAAGATTTGGGACCACCTGTGATTTCATATGAATTGGTTGTTTGTATCTAGGCTGTGACTGGAGGTTATTGACCAAACCAGACCAGTTCTCAGGAAGGTTGCAAAAGGTTGACTCTATTTTTTGTCTTTAAACTCTCCAAGATGAGGTCCAGGACACCATGCCACTCAATAACCCCACCCTTTCTTCTCATCTCTCACATCCTCCTAAGACACAGAATTGAGATTATCATGTGACTTGTAAAGGACAAGGGTGCTGTCATCACCCTGCAATCACATCATGTCACAGCAAGAACTTCAGGCAACTGGACATGAACAAGAGACAGACTTTGTATTTCAGCTTAGTCTCATTCTATTCAACTCATTAAACTTCTCTGTGTTCACAGATTGTCTGGGAAGACACCTGCTGCCCTGATGGCACCCCTTCCTAGTTCATCTCTCCTAAAGCCTAAACCTTCCCACTATGTTACTCCCAGCTCGCATCCACTTCATTCAAGATGTCTTTGATCATTTGGCTAACATTATCTCAGAATCTACAATGTTCCAGGCTCTCTGATGAAACTTGAGTAGAAGAAGGCATGTAATAATTCATAATCCATGTCCTTTGACTTAAGTAGCATGTAGATCAGGAAAGAAATGAGGGTGTGTATGATAATATTGTGATAATACAATTAATTTGAGAGAAGATCTTGGCAATACAATGAACCAAGAATTGATCTATGTACTATAAATAATAACCTCTCCATATGGTAAGAAATAATATTGCCCTGTGTGAAAGATAAGAAAAGGAGAAGAAGCTTCCTGCCAAGAAACTACAGCCAGGAAGAAAATGATGCAGGGCTTGGTCATGATGCTAGTTCCCATCATCCAGATGCTGGGCTGATCAACACCTGCAGCCCATGACCAGAGTGCAGTGAGATAGCTCTTTAGTCATGAGACAGGTCCTCCTGTAGGTCTGCTTAGTGTGACAGCCTGGCTATTGGCTCTCAGGCAGTACTGTGATCCAGCTTGACACTGAACTTTTATATGACATTTCCAATGTGAGGAAACAGGCTGAGAGGTTAAGCAAAGGCTCTGTTCTTTCATCTTTTTGAAGACAGATCCAGGTTTAATATTCAGAACTCGTTGCTCTAGTACCTGTGTCTGAAGCTACAGGGTCTCCTGTTTCCATGATCTCAAGATACCGTTTTCTCAATCTGGACCACTGTAGCCTCGAAGAGAGATGAATCGTGGATATCTAAGAGTGAAGGCTGAGTCTGAGAGTGACGAGTAATGATGTCTTGAAGAGGTTATGATGTATTTATGTAGACCAGTTGGAATGGTCCTTGAAAGCATGAGTATATGGGAACTGATTAAATGTTTCCTTTCTCTGGTCCCAAGTGTGATTTTTAGGTACCTGAACCTCTGGATCAGCTAGGGAGGAGAGTAAAGCTTCCAAAGTTCTTGTTGCCTGGCCTGCTAAGGTTCTACCTTCTTCCTATTCCAACAATTGCTATTGGCTTCCTGATAAATGGTGTCAATTGTCTAATGTTGAGTGGACCTGATAACAATCATGGAGAATAAGGGACAGATGCAAGTTCTCCTTATGAAGGAAGTCATCTCAGACACAGAGCAGCCTCAGGTATTTCTTGCAATTCACAGCTTACAAATGAGGAACTGAATGCACGGAGAGGATTGATATCTGCCCCAAGGACAGAAATCCATAAAGACTCATGGTAGGTAGTACTTATATTTCAAGTCCATTATAAGCAATATTCTGGGTCTCTTTCCAGTGAGAAGGCCAGGAAAGGCTACCTCATGGGAAGCTCACTTTTTATAGGAATTAACCAAGCGGGTTTTTTTTTCTCTGCTTACCTCCCAGGAAGGGACTTCTGAACACAGGTAACACCAAATCTTAGCATACATTTCCACAACTTTGTCAGCCATTCCTGGGTCTCACACAGAGGACTTTTGCGAAGTTTGTTGGGTGTTGATGTAGCACAAACGCAGGAATACCTTCTTTAGAAAACTCTCTCGAAAACTTCTCATCTGTACCTGGCAACCTGTCTCTTCTCCTGTACTGTGTTTCCATGTGAAATACTGAACCATTTGGTCATCAGACTGTGCCAAAGACAGCCAGACATGGCAATGATCCACAGTGAAATCCTGGAGTACTGCCTCTCGACAGGAAACATGCTTTTGAGATTGTCCCAGCATTCCCTCTTCCCTCCCTTTAATGGGAGAGTAAAAGTTTTCATCTGTCAATAAAGCTGCCACAGGTGACCTGAAAATAAAACCCATCTCCCCGTCCCACAGGCCCTGTCTATGAGCATCCACATGAAACCAGGAAACCCGAGCCTCCCCTTCATGGTGCTCTATTATTTTTCCCCACTAGAACCCCAGTTTCTCTATTTGTATGATGCCAGGTTGTTCTGTTTCCCCTAAGATTCTTCCCAGTTGTGAATTTACTAGAAATTTATGACTTAACTGACATGAGGATAGGGTTCTCATAAGTAAGATTAGCAGTTCTTTTCCTTACATCCTGTGAAGACTTGGAAATGACATCAGCTGTATAGTGCTCTCTACAAAATTTAGACATCACTTGATAAAGAAACTCAAGTAAAAACTGGAAGCAAGCTCTGGTCCCTGAATCATTCCTGACCTATGTGCCCCTGACCCCTGCTACCTTTATCAGCTTCCAATCCCACAGAAAATCTAGATGCTCAAACTAAAAATCTGGACCAATTGTTCCAGCACTTACAGGCAATCGACTGTTTTCTTTTGACTCGGCAGGACTGTAAATATTCAGGTAGAGACAGTCTTCAGAAAACTCAAGAGGTATGCTCTCCTGTTTGGTGCTGAACATATCTGGGAGTAGCTGTCCCATAGATGCCTCTTGGGAGCACCTGGGAGGGGAAAGAACATCTGAGATTCCACCAGAGTGAGCATGTCACCCGAGCCTGATCATGCACTGAGAGATTTGAACCTATAAAAGTAGTTCCTATTATTTCCCTGGAGTTGTTGCTATGTGAGAGGTGGGAAACCTGAAATCTTTCAGATCTGTAAGTCCTATGGAGGAAGAAGCAATTGGTACATTTCTTTTCTAGGAGTATTTTGGGATGTTGTGGACCAAGGAGAAATATGATTGAATGGTGACCTGCCCTAGGAGATGTTACTTCCTAAAGTGCTTGAACAGGACTTTGTCCTTCTGGGCTTTGGATTGTGGTCCATAGTTGACTATACTCCTCCACCAGGTAAACATGCTTTATAGTTCTCAGAAGACATTCATTAACCAAGACAGTTAGCTGCAATGATAGGTAGCCTGTTGTAGGTTGAGGTAGGGGATGGCATTGTAGTGGGAGAACCTCAGGAAAGCTAAATTCTAGCCTTGTCTGAGACAAGATGTGCTGTGTGGCCTAAGGTAAATTTCTTTCCTAATCTGATCCCAAGCTTCCAAGTTCAGGTGGAATGAGCCAAGTCTCCAAAGTTCTTGTTGCATGGCCTGCTAAGGTCCAATATTGTCCTGTTCCAACAGCCACTATTGACTCCTGTCTAAAGGCTGTTAAAGGTACAGTGTAGCATGGATTGGGAGCAGTTACTGAGTTCTCCCAGAGTATTAGGAAGATATTTAGATTCTTCTTATATATGAGGCCATTTAAGGGTCAGTTCATCCTCAGGCGTCTATTATTGTTTCTGTTTTACAGTTGAGGAATTGCAGATACAGAGCGGTTTGACAGTTGCCTCAAGGACACAGAGCCAAGATCATATCAGGTAGTGCTTGTACTTCAGGTAGATTATGAGCAACATTCCATGTCTCTCTGCAATGGGAAGGTGTGGTATCACCACCCCTCATGTGTAGAAGTGATGCTGTGTAGGACCAGCATGGCACAAACCACATCAAACAACAGAGATTTCCAAATCTCTGTCCTGGGAATGCCTACAGAATCTCTGTTCTGTAGGGAAACTACCTCACTCAGAATAGTGTATGATATACACAAAAATATAAATTCACATGTTAAATATCATAGTATTATATTGTCATTTTATATTAGTTTTTATATACAATTATATTATGTATTATATAAAATATATTTTCCTACCACATATACGTATAATCGGTATAATATATATGTTGAAATGATGCTGATGCATATATATGAATGTGCCAGATTACCTCTGACACTGTATTTATGAGCTCTGTTTTATGGAGGATTTACACAAAGGCCTTGATTCTCTCTCTGTATGTGTGTGTATGTGTGTGTGTTTGTGATAATACTGTCTTACTTTGAAAGCATAATGTAACTGTGGTACATCACAGATATTATTTGTAGAGGAAAGGCATGGAATGGTAAGAAGACAGTCCGACTCAGAAGCCTGGAAACTCTCAGAAGAACCTTGGGGAAGACACAAATGCTGTCTGATCTGACATTTGTAGGTGTCTGAGGTTCTCTGAGATGGCCATGAGGCCATCTAGAATTCTTAGGCTTGTTCACTCAGTTGCCAAGGTTGATGTATCAAAACTTTGATAATTGCTTGTGAGTAGGTAGCTAGGTAGATCTGGGTGTGAGAACTTGCAGTCATATTCACTATTTTCACTCACAAGTCCACACCCATAGCACTCCTAAGCTTCACTAAAGTTCAAATTAGAATAATATAGCATCTCACTTCTCATTCACCTCATCTGATCAATTACTAGTGTCCAAATCACTGAAGATATTCTAGGATATTATATTCTTGATGTACTAATCCACAGACTCCTCATTTTCTCTTTCCATCCAATAGGATAAAAGTTTCAAGTACAGTTTTGTTTTTATTAATGGTTACTGAAAAATGAGAATATTACTGTTCCACCATAGGTGCTCAGTAAGTTTGTGCTAAATACAGGGTTTGGAAAACTATGAAAGTGCTTAGTAACTAGACCATCTTTAAAGACTCATGATGCTCTCAAGGATGCCAGTAATTGCTGTTAATATAGTTAGTCAAAGGATTGCCTTGTCTCCATCCTGCACCACTGTGAGATCTCACAGTGAAGTTTTGTCTTTGACTGACTATGTATTGTAAAGCTAAGTACTGGCTCTGTTTGACTCAGGGAAGAGGAGATCCTCAGGTATAACAAGTGATGCTCTGTAACCTTGTCTCACATATTATCCTTGATTGGTGAATAGAAATGCTTATAGCCTATAGCTGGGAAGGAGGTAGGCAGAATTTCAGTTCTTAGGCTTGGTGTCTGAAGCAGGAAAAGACAAAGCAGGAGAGGGAGGAGAGGGGGGAGAAAATGTGGACAGAGGATAAGATGCCATTGGGTAGTTAAATCATGAAAATATTGCCATAAGGGCTGTACACTTGGTGTAAGCAGCCCAGATAGAACATGGAAAATCATATCTCAGTTATTGGTAGGGTAGCAGAAAAAAAACTTAGCGATATCTGTCCAGCTCTAGTGCTTTAAAATCTTACTATAAATATAAAGTTTATATGTCTTTTATCTAGGAACTAAATAGTCTAAGTCATGGTAGATATCCCCAATTAATATTATATATTTACAACAACACATACACACTGAAACAGTCCCTATCCCAGTGGCTTACATAGGAGGGTAGGAGATGGCATCCTTCACAAAGCTCCAGGGCTCTACAGGCTCTGGTGGAGCAAACCTCAGGGATCCAAGAGGAGGCTTGGCAAAGGGGACTCCCAGGAAGACTGCCACAGGCCTTTCAAATCCTTCTATGCTGATGTACTTTCCCAGGACTTTGCCTTGAGTAGTATTCACCACGGGTGGTAACAATGAGAGTCCTGAGGGTCAAGAAAACATGAGAATATATCAGAGGGGAAAGTGCAAATCTGGATTCATGGTTGCTTTAGTCACTTTTAGGCTTGCCCCATCTATAGTCATTTGAATCTTCTAAGGTCTCATTTCCTTCTGAAATTAAGGAGAGCACCAACTAAAAAGTAATCTGTTTGGAGCTATAAAAGTAGCCAGCCTAAGCCTATACAAGTGTTATTGCTCAGCTTTGTGCCTGCCCTGTATATATTCCTATATATTTCGTGGACAGATTTTCAAATGAGCAACCCAATGTTTGTAATCCAGAAGAACTTACCCCATATAGGGGAAGCAGCAAGAGAAGCCCAGACCAGAGCACAGAACCACATGGTAGTGGAAGAACAGGAGCTTTTGGAGACAAGGAGGTGTCTGCTGCTCAAATAGAAAGCCTTGTTCCTGCCTCTTTGCTGTGGACCTGCCCCTAGACCAATTAACATAATTACATAAAACTCTCCCTCCTCCAAAGAGCTCCCCAGTTGCTTGATAGGACCTCCAAGGCACACCCACTAAGTGTTTACTCTTTTTTATCTTTAAAGACATTACCCACTCTCTGATACAAAATGGCCACGAACTCATCCAACGTCTTATTCAAACACTTGTAGTTCAGTAGTTCAGCACACCCTGAACTTCCAAAGGTAAGCACCAGTAAGGAGATGCATGCAGTCAGGAAGAAGCCTTGAGTTAGGATTCCCACCACAACCTGGAAAAGTAAGAGCACTTCACACTGCCAGTGTTGCCCAGCTGGGAACATTGCACACTTCCCAGCTTCCATGGAATGCCATTTCCTGGAAGACAGGCTCCCAGATTGGAAGTTTTCTAATCTCACTTTTTCTTCAATGTCTTTTCTGATGCAGACTGTTCCTGCCAGGTGGCCTGATTTGCCGGTGTGCACCTTCTTTGTTAATGATCTCATTGCTTTCAGAGCAGGTGTATTTAAACAGAATGTTTGTATTAGTTACTTCTGGTTGCTGTGATGAAACACAAAGAACAAAGGCAATCTAAGGAAGAGAGAGTGTCCAGAGGGAGAGCAATCCATGATGGCAGAGCAGAACCATGGCAACACATGGCAAGCAGGATGGTTGGAACAGAAAGCCAAGAGCTCATAATACTTAAATGCAAGCTCACAGCAGAGAGTGAACTAGAAATGATGAGTCTTTAAACTCTCAAAGCCTACCCCTATTGTCAAACTTCCTCTAGCATGGCTACATCTCCTAAACATCCTCAAATAGCACTAGGAAACTGAAAACGATCTCTGGATTCTGAGGAGTCACCCATCACTTTCTCGGTATGCGAGGCAAAACTGACCAGTAAAGTGCTGAACTTACCACAGCTAAGAAAAACAATACAAAAGGCATTTTGTCTAAATTCCACTAGGAATTTGTGAACTCACAAAGTCTGGTGGGTTTGGACTGTAGCTGTAAATTGTACCTGCTACACCACACCGACACAGCCTGCTATGGGACACATCCCGGAGGGAGAGAGAGAATCCAAAAGCTCTCCCAACAAATCAGCTAAGGTCTAATATATATTTTTAAATCAATTTTACTTTTATATCATTTTGGGTTTTGTTTATGTTTATTTTGGTTTTTTTTTCATTTTTCTTTTTCCTTTTTTTGTTTCTGTTGTTTGTTTAATTGTTTTCTGAGACAGGGTCTACTAGGTGTTCTTGGTATACCTGGGACTCACTATATGGATCAATTATACTTAAGGCTGCCTTTGACTTTGCCTATCTCTAGCCCCTGAGTGCTAGGAATAAAGTCCCATTACACCACAGCAGAAATCTTTTTGTTTGGTTATTATATTTTCAATCTTTATTCTTTCATTAATATTTCTTACTGGTTTTGTTTAGTTTTATGTTTCTTGTTAGATCTTAAGACTGATCATTCTGGTTTTTACACCCATCCTATTGTTGACTTTCTATTGTTCTATCTTTTCCCTTCCTCACCTCTCTCTTACTCTTTCTCATTCCTCTTTCTTTTTTGTCTCTTAACTATAACTTTGTATAGCTTTAATTGTCTTTAAGCCCTGAGGATACTCAGAACATTCTAGCTTCATTTTCTATCTACATTCCCGCCTCTGTATTTTCCTTCAGTTGATATAGTATCTATTATTCCACAACCTGTATCCATTCTATCCCCAAACTTATTAAATAATAGCTCAGTCCATACCATAATATCCTTGTTCCTCTACCCTCCAACAGTTACTAAGCCCCAAATGGCTATTATGACATTTGCATGGTGAGCCCATCTAGATGTTTGTGTGGCTTCCGTAAATATTCTCCTCTCAGAGTAGTATTTGTGTATTGAATTTGTTGCCCTGGATCAAGGATGTAGCTACTGATCACACCCTTTATCCCTCAAGGAGGAACAGCAGCTCAAACTACTGCAGCCTAGTCTTCTGTGAGTGCTACAAAGACTTTAGCCAAAACAATATAGTCAATACTCATATCCAGTCCATGAAATACCCAGGTGTGTAAGTCTAGGCTTAAAAATCTCTAAGAAAAACCAAGCCTATAGCAATAATGTTCAATACAAATGAGTTAGTTGAAATTTCCAAGAATTCAAATGGATAGTATGAGAAATTTTGGCAGAAGTAAGGCAGATACAGGTAAACTCCTAAATGAATTGAAATCTAATGGGGCCTTAACCCAAGACCAAAAAAAAAAAAAAAAAAAATGCAGACAACAAAGCAATGTCAAGAGTGAGAAAACATTCTTTATCAGAAAGGATCCCCTTCTGGTTATTTAACACCTAGTGGTCAGCTCTTATATCGTGCGTGTGTGTGTGTGTGTGTGTGTATATATATATATATATATATATATATATATATATGTATATATCACCAAACAAATTATATTTTTTATATATTTAGGAATGAGTATGTGTGTGTATGTTTGTGTGGTATATCTGTGTATGCATATATATTCAGCAATTAAATAAATTGAGAGAAAGCAAGGAGGTACATGAGAAGTTTTGGAGGAAGAAAAGGAAAGGGGGGGCTCTCTGCTCCTCCCTGTTCCAGAGATTGCCGCATCTTCTTGTGCAGTGCCAGCCTCATCCCGTAGACAAAATGGTGAAGGTCGGATTTGGCCTTATTGGGCTCCTGGTTACCAGGGCTGCCTTCTGCTCTCCATCTGGTGGCAAAGTGGAAATTGTTGCCATCAATGACCCCTTCATTGACCTCAACTACATGGTCTACATGTTCCAGTGTGACTCCACCCATGGCAAGTTCAACGGCACAGTCAAGGCTGAGAATGGGAAGCTTGTCATCAACAGGAAGCCCATCACCATCTTCCAGGAGCGAGATCCCGCTAACATCAAATGGGCTGATGCTGGTGCTGAGTATGTTGTGGAGTCCACTGGCGTCTTCACCACCATGGAGAAGGCTGGGGCCCACTTGAAGGGTGGGGCCAAAAGGGTCATCATCTCTGCCCCTTCTGCTGATGCCCCCATGTTTGTGATGGGTGTGAACCACGAGAAGTACTACAACTCGCTCAAGATTGTCAGCAATGCGTCCTGCACCACCAACTGCTTAGCCCCCCCTGGCCAAGGTCATCCATGACAACTTTGGCATCGTGGAAGGGCTCATGACCACAGTCCATGCCATCACTGCCACTCAGAAGACTGTGGATGGCCCCTCTGGAAAGCTGTGGCATGATGGCCGAGGGGCTGCCCAGAACGTCATCTCTGCATCCACTGGTGCTGCCAAGGCTGTGGGCAAGGTCATCCCAGAGCTGAATGGGAAGCTCACTGGCATGGCCTTCCGTGTTCCTACCCACAATGTATCCATTGTGGATCTGACATGCCGCCTGGAGAAACCTGCCAAGTAGGATGACATCATGAAGGTGGTGAAGCAGGCATCTGAGGGCCCACTGAAGGGCATCCTGGACTACACTGAGGACCAGGTTGTCTCCTGTGACTTCAACAGCAACTCCCACTCCTCCACCTTTGACACTGGGGCTGGCATTGCTCTCAATGACAACTTCGTAAAGCTCATTTCCTGGTTTGACAATGAATACGGCTACTGCAACAGGGTCATGGACTTCATGGCCTACATGGCCTCCAAGGAGTAAAAAATCCTGGACCACCCACCCCAGCAAGGACAATGAGAGCAAGAGAGAGGCCCTCGGTTGCTGAGGAGTTCCTGTCCCCAACACTGAGCATCACCCTTACAATTTCCTTCCCGGACCCCGATAACAACAGGAGGAGCCTAGGGAGCCCTCCTTACTCTCTGAGATACCATCAATAAATGTTTGCTGCACCCCCCCCCCCCAAAAAAAAAGGAAAGAAAAGGAAAGGAGGAAATAATGTAATTATATTTTAACTTTAAAAATGGTTGGACATGGAGAAGGCAAGAAAGAATACTGGGAGTACTTTGATAAAAGAAGTTATATACTGGATTATAAAAACTAAATAAATAAATTAAAACTAAGTAAATGAATTCTTAAAAGAGCACACAAGTCATTTGCATGAAATAAGGAATTCAGTGTGGTATATGAAAGAAATTTCATGAGAAATAATTAAAAATGTCAAATTAAAATGTTAAAATTTATATTACCCCAAGTCAAGTATATCATCTTTCTAATACAGAGGGTCAAGTAGAACATAGACTATCAGGAATAGATAACAAGGAAACTGAATTAGAATGTGAAGACATTGATTAAGATACCTAAAGACCCTCTACATACTGGAGAGGAAGATGAATACATCCAAGAGACCTCAGGAAAGAACAAATTACACCAGTTAACCAAATAAAGAGGAGGGATACCAAACAGTACAAACCAACAAATGAACAAGAATTTAATTCCCTAACCAAAAGACACAACTAGGTGATTAGAGGAAAAAGAAATTGAATTCATCTCTTTGTTGGCTCCAAGAAGAGTGTGTTGTCATTGAAGACAAAGACAACCTAGGATCAAAGGATGGAGAAGGTTTTCAAGGAGGTGGAAACAAAAACGGAGAAGTTCTCTTTGTTCTGACAAATTGATATTTGTCAGAAGTCACAGAAAAGGTTACTTTATATTGATTAAGGGAAAAATTCGTTATGAAGATATAACAATTCTAAATATTGATGCACCAAAAACATCAGCATTACAAGTTTCAAAATTAAAAAAAATGTTAATAAACAGATTAAACTCAAGGGAATTATAATGGTTAACATTGGCACTCCACTGTCATCAATGTATAGATTATCCTGACCAAAAAACCGAGAACCATTTGAGATAAATCACATTAATATAAGTCAATTGGACCTAATATACTTCTGCAGAGCATCCCATCCAAACACTGCAAAATCCACATTCTTCTCAGCAGCTCATGAGACTTCCTCT